TGCGATATTAGGCAAAACTGTTAATCCAGAGAGCAGCTGCTTATAGTATTTAATAGAGTTTTATAGCTCTAATCAAAGGTAATTTTCCATGCATGGATCACGCGCGGCAAAGTCGAGTTACCTGAGATCGGTGCATTAACAAAGATCGGATAGGTAAGTGGCTAGCAAATCAAATAACCCAGCTGAGTCCTAAGTAAATGCTGCCACTGTTTAATATATCGTAAAAAGTCGAATGATGTCCATAAAAATGATATCACGCATAAAATATATTTACGATATATACATATAAAGAGCATAAGGCATATACATATATTATAAAAGAGCACACATATGTATATACAATTATAAATATATATGTATGTATATACAGTTGGGCGAACACACCCTATATCATTAAAATAGAGAAATTTAGTTGACGGACGAGCTCTACGTCTCGGCGCCTTCTAAATCCCATCAGTGTTCGCTATAGACGACGCACATAAAGTCCCGAACTCGGGTAGCACGACTAGTCGAGACCAGCAGCAGCCCCCAGCCACAGTCACAGCCACAACAACAGCTCCAGCGCCCTCTAACCACCTAAATAAAAAGTCTTAGCGTACCACCAAAGGGCCCAACAGAGCAGAGGCAAAAGCACCCCAAACATCGGATGAACTTCGGGTTTTTGCTATTGCCGGTTGACGAACTGACAAACGGACGAACGAACGAACTGACTGAATGACGAACGACCAGATAGACAGACAGACAGGCAAGCAAACAGTTTGGCTCTGCTGCTGCGTATTTGCTCTGCACGCCTGACGCCGACTGCGACGTCGACGTCGAAAGATATTCTGCCCGTCCTTGCCGACTGCCTTGCCCCTCGCCCTGCCCTGCCCTTCCTAATGCCTGGCCCATCGCTTGGCTTGCTGCTTGCTGCTTGCTCGGTTGGTTTTGGTTTGGTTTGGCTTGTTTGGGATTAAATATTTCCTATAGATGGGAAAAACGAGTCGGTCGGGTCGGTCGTCGAGTCGCTTGGCGATGTTGTCGCTAGTTTCGTATATTTCACTTTGTGTTGAACGTTCGTCCGAAGCGGTTCTCACAGCGCGACCAAACGCGCTTCTTGTTAGCCAGGCGTTTTTTTCGATTCGATACGCTACGATTTGATTTGATTTTCGGCTTGGCTTCAGACCGATTATAATATATAGACATAAATAAATAACACATTTATATACAAATATAAAAATAAATATACAGACTTTATACGGCATCGATAATCGTGCAAAGTTTCATTCAAGAATCGAATGTTTGTGCTCGACACGGCACACGCTCCTAAAGTGAGTACCACTGTGCGAATGTGTAATGTGCCTCTGTGTGTGTGCGTTTGTGTCTGTGTGTGTTTGTGTGCACGTGTGTGTGGCGATGTAAACAAACGGGGTCTTGAGATTCTGCCTCTGCCCAGCCGCTGCTACGGCTGCTGTTGTCAATGCTGTCATTGTTGCTGCTCCCGTTGCTCTTGTTCTTGTTCTCGTTCTTGTGTTGTGTTTCTGTGCAATTAAAAAAGCGGCGCAACGCGGCGCCGCTGACGTCGCTGCCAGCGGCATCGTCATCGGCGTCGACATCGGCATCGGCATTTGCATGCCACACGCGGCGCCAGCTGCGACAGCAGCAAGTGTTTGCCCGCTATTTAAAAATGTTTGCGGGTCGCGTTTGTTTTTGTTTGCATACAGTTAGACTGCGCGTCGGCAGCGACGTCGACTGCGAAAGTGTTTTGGTCTTTGGGCCGTTGATTGTTTTGGTTTGTTTTTGTTTTCATTCTGCTTCAGTTTTTTTTTCATCGTGCTTTCGTTTTTCGCGCCGTTTCCGTGTTGGCGTATTGGCTTTTCGGGGTTGTGTGAGAAAGAACCGTAGCACTGATAAGCGGACATTGACACTGGGCGACCAGCAGCTGATAAGCATCTAGTTTTGAGTGCATGTGCAAGTGGAAACTAAAGTGTAAATAGCTTAAATAGAAAACAAACTTAAATAGAAACAGACTAAACTAAAAAGCGTATAGTTCAAATACATATATTCATATGTCCATATTGAATCTTAAGTCGAGTTTCACAAAGCAGCTTTATGGATACATAAATAATTCTAATTACAGCCATAAACGTAAATCATTTATTGGACACTTTATATCCGTTATTAAAAGAAATCCATCTAATATAATAAATATATTCCATGTATAATGATTATTAATATATCACATAACCCAATAGAAAAGGTCAAATCGAAGTCACCTTGAACTATCACGACTAACACATACGACATAAATAGCTCAACATACATATTTAGATACATACATAAATGCATAGACATATGTACCACATACATATACATCTACCTAAGCATGACGAAAATCAATCTAAAAATTACCTGACAAAATGAAAAGATATGAAAACAAAACAAAAAATACACACAGACTCAGAAATCTGAAACTGAATTAGGAAATGGAATGTTAATGCTACGAATATTTGAAGCATAAAAGGCAAGAACGGGCAGTAGGTAAAGTGTCTGACGGAATATATAAAGGCAATAGCTGGGTTATACAAAGATAGAGAGATATCGAGATACAAAAGATACGTAGCAACAAAAGGGCGCTCGACGAGAACTGAACTGTAGACGTAGCCGAGCTAAGGCTCACGACGACGATGATTACGGTGATGATGATGATGATAATGATGACGATGCACGAAATTTCACGAATCCCCAAAGCAGCCTTACAGCTAAAGCCGACAACCTTAGCCAGTTGTAGGCAACCATTATTCAGGGTGTGCGAGGAGGAGGATTTAGGGCGCGGAACAGGGACGATGTCTCAAGGCGATTAAGATAAAGTGCCAATCGATATAAGGGAAAGAAAGGCGAGCAGGGCAGCATCAGCTCAGCATCAGCATCAACGGCAGCAGCAGCAGCAGCAGAGAGATGAGATGAGCTGAACAGAGCTCAGCTAAAGCAGAACAGAGCTAAGGCACAGGCAGAGCAGGGGCAGGGCAATATGTATTCGTATAGCAGAAAAACATCCACAGCCACAGCTCGAACGCTCGAACGCTCGAGCAGAGTGTATATAGCTCAGCGACGACATAAAAGGAAATATAAAACCATTTATAAAGCAAGTCAGTCAGGGGAGATTTGAATTGGAATTGATGGTGTAGTGCACTCGACTACAAGTATATATATAAATATATATATATATATATGTGTGTATATGTATGTTTGTCTTCGACTGTCTTTTCTGTATGTGAGTGTGTCTGTGTTTGGAATACGAAGCATAGACGAAGACCGAAGCGTTTTGTTCGTTTTGTGTCAAGGTGTGCGACGGGCTGTGTAGAAATATCTTGAAGATGCTTAGTGGAAGGGTTTTTTGGGCTATGAAACTTTTGCTTGCCAACTAAGTTTCCGGCACACAAAAAGTTTTCGCCAACAACAGCTGCGACAGTGAACAACCCCTAAGCTAGCTGACAGCAGCAGTTGAACTGAAAGATAAAACCCAATTCCGTAAATCCAACCCAAGCAACAACTTGTGCCGGGCTGCGAGGGGAAAGGCAACGATTTCAAATAGTAAATCTTCAGGCGAACACGAACATTGCTTTATGTATTAAGTCATCTTATTAATCGAAAATACCGGCTTCTCTGACTCAGGCAGGTGGCTTATTCAAAAGGGGGCATCGTAGCTATGTATCTGAGTCAGCAGAGTATTACCCTCAATCTTAACAAGGAGGAGGCGGAGGCTCGACCAAGTCGTTCACTTTAGTCAAGTGCTGCTGTTGCTAGAGCGGAGTAGAGCAGAGCAGAGTTAGCAGCAGCAGCAGCAGCTATCTTCGTATTTGTAGCTGTATGCGAGTGTATCTGTATGTGTGTGTGTGTGTGAGCTCTGCCGATATGGGTATGGGTGCTTGGGTGCTCCCATAATGGAGCGTTCGACGTACGACTGGTTCTGGTTTTGGGGGCTGTGACTTGGGACTGGAAAACGTATCGATTTCTGAAGGCGTACGCATCGTTGCCTCAGCAGCGCTTCAAATTTATCAACAGTTTTATATAAGTATGTGTGTGTGCGTGTGAGAGAGATGTTTTTTATGGTGTGCTCGTATCTGTAACTTATAGCGGGCATCACGCTCGTCGTACTGCTCTTATATATATTCAAACTTTCTGAAGTACCTACATAACTAAACGCATTCATAAGCAGGCCTGCCTGTGTGTGTGAGTGTACGTATCTTTATTGTATGCGTGAGTGTGCGTGCAGATGGTATTTTTCCAAAAACCCGAGGTCGAAGCTATTATAAATACAAATGTATTATATAATCTATAGATATATAAGCATGCATGTAGATATAATGCGTCATGTGTTGAACCCCCATAAAATCTGGTTTGTTCATAGATTTCAATATAATTTCGTGGTAGTTTTTGTCCTTCTGGATAAATAGTATTGATTCATACTTCACAAGAAGTCGAAACCAAATTTTATTTTCAATTTTAGTATACTACACAAGAGTTTGTCTTCTCCTCGATAAAGTACTTCTCCCTAGGGCATGGCTTAATGGAGTTTGCTTGCAACAAAAGTTTCTTAGTTTTTGATGTTGATTAAGCACAAAAACTTCTATTGAACTTTCTTTCAAATTGTTTTCCTTTTTTTTTTAACTTTTTGAAGGGTTGCTTGGCAATTTCTAAGCTTACAGTTGATTGCAGTTTTTGCAATTTGAAGCTCTTTAACCGTTATATTTTTAATGTTATACCCTAGCAAGCGAGAGCAGAGTGAAAAGTCTTAATTGCTCAGACAAAAGTTGATAGTACAATTAATTCTTATAATTTAATTTTCAAATAAATTGCGTTGCGCCCTCTCAAGGCGAGCTAATAACTGTATCTGAAATTTCCAGCGTTGCCAGACTGTTCGCTTAAACCGCGGCGAAATTCAAAGCAAAACGAAAGAATAGATAATGCCAAAGAGGCAAAGGACAGAATAGAATCAGTGTAAATTTACGCATATCTCAATAAAAAATGAATATATACATTAACTATACTTAATTAAACTAACATTTTACGTGCTTCTTCTCTTTGCAGCTGATTATTTATATTTTTATGTTCTGATTGGTATTGGCGGGCATTTATTTGCAACGCCAACAAAAATTCATTAACAATTCGGGGCGTAAACAGTTTACCAGTTGCCATGCCGACTATACGGCGATGCTGCATCATTGGATGCTTGTCGAATTCGAGACAGCACCCAAGCATGCAGTTCTTTGCCTTTCCCCGGCCAGACAATCCCTTTCACAAGTTGTGGAAGGAGGCGTGCCATGCCTCATTGCGGCGCATCATTCCATTCAAGAAACCCGTTGTTTGCGCTCTACACTTTGATCCCAGTGTGCTAGGCGGGCGACGCTTGCAGTCGAATGCATTACCCACTTTGCGTTTGGAGGTGCCCTCGAATTTGGAGGCCGTGGAGCAGCAGGCCATGGTGGAGGAGATCGAGCGCAGTCGCAAATGCGCCTACATTAATGCAGTTGTCTATGAGTGGCTGGTGCGGGCCAATATCAATCCACAGCTGAGAGGCAGCATCACTCATGGCATGATCAAGGACAAAGCGGAGAATGCACGCCAGGTGATTGGTAGCACATCTTTCATAGCGGACAACCGATGGCTGAATCGGTTTCGCGAGACGCACTTGCAGGGCTTTGCTCAGAAACTGGCCACCAATCAGCTGAAACCGATGGGAACGTCGCTATGGATACCGGACATTGTGCAGGACTTGCAGCATTTGTTTCCGCCGGCCAGTGCAGAGCGTGTGGCCAAGCTGGAGGAGATGCCAGAGCAGTATATGAACTACATGCAACAGTATGGCGAATATGAGGAGGACGACGACAGCATGGACAACAAGGAGCAGAGCTATCAGGAGCAACAGCAGCAGCAGCATTACGCGCTACAGCAACAGCAGCTCCAGCAGCAGCAACAGCAATTAAATCAAGCCTGGCCGCCCTTCCCAGGCCATCCACACGGACATCCACATCCACATCCGGGCTTTAGCTTTAATGACTACTACTTTGAGCGCCATCAGCAACAGCTGCAGCAACAAATGCAGCAGCATCAACAGCAACAGTTGCAGGCACAGTTCCCACCGCCGCATGTGGTGCCAGCACCACCAGGCGCAGCGCAGCCACCGCGCGAACCCTTCCAGCCACAATTGCCACCAAATCAGTCGCAGCAGCGCGTCAGTCCCTTCCAGCCAGTACAGCTGGCCAAGCGTCCCAAATTGGAATCTCCAGCCGATGATGAAGTACAAGAGATCAATGCTTCGGCTGCTGCACGTGGATCGCCATTGTCATTAACTTTGGCCGAATCCACAGCCACCACACAGCTGGATCAGCATACTCCCAGTCCCAAGGAGCAAAACAATAACAGTGGACGTGACAGCGCCAGCAGCAAGGAAAATGCACCCAAAACTCTGACCGACTGCCACAGCGGCAAGTCAACACCTGTACGTTCTATCAAAGGCAGTAGCCCACCAGCAACAGCATCCGCGCCAGCCTCGCCGAAGAAACATAGTGGCAGTGCCGGCAGTCAAACAAATGGCCACAACTCCCCAGAGCCGGATTCAAGCTCCTTGGTCAATGTGCTCAAGGAACTGGATAGTTATACTCAAGCGTTGGAATATTTGAAGCCTTTAGAGGATTTCGTGCTCTTCAAGGAGAATTTCCGTGCCATTGGACTATTGTCGCAGCTGGAGCTAGTGCTGCGCAAGGGTGACAAAGCCACGCTCATAGAAGGTTAAACTCTACTCAAAAGATGACAAAAACAGAAATGTGATGAACAGTGTACATACTATGCATATGTAGTTAATTAATGAAGTAGTATTATTAATTTGTCTTTCCACACAACTTGATTTAGGTAATACATGTTTGAGCAGACAGTACTGTGGCAAACCAATGATATTCGATGAGATTAAAATAAAACATATTAATTTATTTGAGAACAAACGTATTTTTATTTGAAAAGATGCGGTAAGTAGAGGTAAGGTAGAGCAAGTCTGGCAACGCCAATAAGAACACTTTACAACACTGTTGCGTTTCATTGTGAATGGCATTTAGTGACTGAAATGATAAACAAAACAGGAGTAGCAAATTGTTAAGCATATTTTTGCAAATCAACAAAAAAGTAATTGTAATTTAAATAAATAACAAATGTCGCTTCTTGAGCAATATGAGCAGCAATACGCAGCGCTAATCGCTGAAATAACTGCACACATTGGTCGTTTACAACAGAATGCAAGTGAGTGCAAGCCTTAAACATATTTTTCGAGCAGTTTGATTGAACCCCTCCCCTCGTAGCCGAACGCAATGAACTGTGCACCAAAATCGATGCCAGCCTGTCCGAAGCACAGGAGCTGCTCGAGCAAATGGGCCTGGAGGTGCGCGAGCTGAATCCATTGCAGCGCAGCACCTTCAATAGTAAAATACAAGTCGCCCAGGCGGAGCTGAAGCGGTTGCAAGCGGAGTACAAACAAACCAAAGACAGAATACGATCGAAGACAAATAATTTCACAACACTTGATTTGGCTGGCAGCGGTGACTACTACGAGGATGTAGCCATTACCAATGATCAACGTCAGCGATTGCTGGATAACTCCGAGCGCATTGAACGCACCGGCAATCGATTAAACGAAGGCTATCGCGTAGCTATTGAAACGGAAGCGCTTGGCGCACAAGTTTTAAATGGTATTTATTTTTTCTTCGGGTGTTATTTACATATTTAGTAATGCTTTTGAAAATATCTCAGATTTACATCATCAGCGGGAGACATTGCAGGGCGCACGCGCTCGTCTAATGGAAACGAATGCTGATTTAGGACGTGCCTCCCGCACCCTTAATTCCATGATGCTGCGCGCACTGCGCGAAAAGGTCGTCCTCTATGGCGTTGGCGTTTGCTTCGTGGTTGCTGTTGGAGTGAGCCTCTATTTAACATTTGCACCGAGTTCCACAGCTGCCACATCATAGTTTCGTGACTATAAAACACGTTAGCGCATTCCTTGTTGAGTTAATTGTTTATTTATTATTAGTTTCAATTGTGAGTTAGGTATGTATATTGAGGAAATTTTAAACATTAAACTACAAAGCTTAATTTACTATGACTTATGCACCTTATCCGTACATATGAGTGTTAAATGTATTTAAAGAATAAATTGTTCGTTGGATTTTGTATCTGGGCGCATTTAAATAATAACTATATCATATTGAATATATATAAATATATCATTTTAGGACGTTTTAGCATTAAATTCGCAGTGAATATTTACAAATAATAATAAAACTAACCAAGTTTGGTTTGGTATTAATAAATTAAATAAATTATTAAAAATCCATTGAGTTCAGCTTTAGCCAATAAATTAGCCAAACTCAATGTTTCCCAACTGCTAGCAGCTGCAAGAGGAGGCATCCTCGTTGATCTCTGTCTGGTTGGTTTTGTCTACTTGAAAACTTTGTCGTTCGAGCGCCTGAAGCTCCATTTTGGAACGATTGGCCTGCACCAGTTGACATGAGATATCTTGGAACATTTCCTCAATACCTTTGCCCGTGCGACAAGATGTCTTGTATGTTGCACTAATCAGGTTGTGGCACTGTTCACAAAAGGCTTCGACTTCTTCATCGGTTACCTCAGGCTCGCGGCCTTCAAGGTCGCATTTATTGCCGCATATAAAGATTTTGGCATTCTCCGCATAAGTGACTATATCCAACAAGTGCTGCGACAAGGAATGAAACGACGCAGCATTGTCCAGAGCAAAGACCAGAATAGCACCCTCTGCAAATTTGTAATAGGATGAGGTCACAGACGCCACACGTTCCATGCCGCCAGTGTCCCACAATTGCAGCTGCCCAAATATTGTGAAAATCAGTATTTTGATATAACAATATACACTACAGCGCACCTTAATTTGTTTTTCGCCCACATTGTACTCGCGGTCAATGTGATCGAGACCGAGCGTCGATTTGCGGTCTGTCTCAGTGACAAAGGTATTGTTGGTGAAGCGTCTGAATAAGGAGCTCTTCCCCACGCCATAATCCCCGCAAAGTATGACCTTCTGCTTTGGTATGCGAACCGATGCCATGTCGTTGATTTATTGTGAAATCTAATTTAATTAATGCCCACCCACACCTGCTGCTAGACACAAAGAAATATAACAACACTCAGCACTAACAGCTGTTGAACTGGTGCTGCCACATTTTATGTTTGCCGGTTTCATGTGGACGTTATCGATAACATATTTTAAGGTGCATTGAGAACTGACCGTTTTTATTTAAGCGGATTAGTTGCTTATTGGGCTTAGCTTTTAAACAAGGCTCAACAAACATGATTTCTATATTTCCCATAATCCCATTATTGATTTACTGGAATAATTATAGTTTTGGTAATTCTATATCAGTTCTTATTGAATATTAACTCGGGATAAATTTCTGTTAAGTGTGACACTTGCAGTCAATAAATCGATTAAAATATCGCGCTTATAGGTAAGACTACTAAATAAAAGCTTATCAAGATTGCCTAGCATTGACATTTCTGATAAGCGATTCTATTATAATGGAGTCCAACGAGCTGGTGGTAGTCATAGCGCCGTGGGTTTCTGACTATAACGGATGATGGCGAATACAACTCCAATACTAGCAATATTTTTGCTGTGCTACGCAACACTGGCACAAGGCAAGTTCAAACGAGAAATTTTCAAATAAAATTTTCATTTGCAACATCGAATCTATTAGGAAAGCCCGGATATGGACCCGGGGAACAGGATTGGGGCTATGTGGATGTACGTCCTGGCGCCCACATGTTCTATTGGCTCTACTACACCACAGCCAATGTCACCAGCTATACGGATCGGCCCTTGGCCATTTGGTTGCAGGGCGGTCCAGGTGCTTCATCCACAGGCTATGGTAACTTTGAGGAGCTGGGTCCTGTTGATTTATATGGCGACTATCGCGAGTGGACATGGGTAAAGGACATGAATGTGCTCTTCATTGATAATCCTGTGGGAAGTGGCTTCAGTTATGTGGACAATACGGCTTACTATACGGCTACAAACAACGAAATTGCTTTGGATCTGGTTGAGCTAATGAAGGGTTTCTATGCCTTACATCCGGAATTCGAGACTGTGCCGTTGCATATTTTCTGCGAAAGCTACGGCGGAAAGATGGCTCCGGAGTTCGCTCTAGAGCTCTACTATGCAAAGCAACGAGGAGAGATTAAGAGCAATTTGCTGTCTGTGGCTCTGGGGGATCCCTGGACTTCGCCAATTGATTCGGTATTAGCATGGGGTCCATTTCTGCTCGAAATGGGCATCGTGGATCATGATGGCTACAATGCCATCATGGAGGCGGCCAACTTTACGGCCGAACTAGTGGACAACGAGCGTTGGATACAATCTACTGCACAGTGGGGCAACACGCAATGGGAGGTGATGAAAGCCTCAAAGGGCGTTGATTTCTATAATGTGCTAAAGGAGACTCGTGGCGATCGCTATCAGCGGGGGATGTTGCAGACACCCTCAGGTGAGTTGCGAGAATATTATCAAGTAAAGCTGAGTACAATAAATGCCTATTCATAGAGCGCATGTATCGCACCATGGTAAAGTTTGACATCGATGAAGATCGTGATGAGCTGCTAGAGAATCTTATGCGCGGACCTGTAGCTGAAACTCTGGGCATACCCTCTAATGTTAAATGGGGTTCACAGAGTGGCACCACCTTTGACATACATAAAACTGATTTTATGAAGCCCGTTATACATATAGGTAAAGGACAGCATTGTCTTATATAAGAGAATGTTAGGTAATATTCGTATTTCCTATATATAGTTAATGAACTGCTGGACAATACTTCCTTGAAAGTGGGCGTCTTTTCGGGTGGCTTGGATCTGATCTGCGCCACACCTGGCACAGTTAACTGGATAGACAAGTTGAACTGGAGTAGAAGAGAAGAGTACCTGACGGCTCCTCGTGTTGCAATCAGCGTGGATCGTATTTTGGAAGGCTATCAGAAGTCGGGAGGAAACTTTACCATGTATTGGATAAATAGGTCGGGTCATATGGCGCCTGCGGACAACCCCGCCGCCATGAGCCATGTCTTGCGCCAGTTCACAGGCTTTGGATAGAGTTTCCAGTCGTGTAGATAGAATCAAATAAAGTTAATTGAAAATTGAAAGCCTCTTGAAACGAAACACATTGAAGCAAGGCGGTGATAAGAAACAATCGCTAACGCAAGTGTGCATTAAGTAATCAACTTATTGGCTTCTTCTTAATTTATGATTGCAAGTGATAAGGTAAGTATTTTAGAAAACATCACCCATAAATAAGTAAATGTCCACGCTTAACTCGTCACTCGTGAAGACCTGAAGACATATCTACATTTACGATCACAGTGTATCGTGATATTTGCTTTTTTGTTTTTCGCCCATGCGCCGCACTCGCAACCAAAGAGTAGCAATTCGCTTACCTTTGCCGTGTGTGGATTTACCTACGATCAGACGATCGACACAGTCCGTGCTGCGCGGTCGCAAGTAGTGCAAAATGAATGGTCTCTTAATCAGCTTAACTGTGCTCCTAGCACTCTTCAACTCTGGCGCAGTCAACGGTAAGTGGAACTGTAACAACTCGACCTCAATTTTGGCAGAAATCCAACTGTGCTTAGAACCTACTTTAAATGCCAATCGGCAGATAGTGATAGGCGAAATATTAAACCAAGGAGACATAAACCATTGGAGCATGGCTTTCAAGTGATTTACAGTAAATTTGCATATACCTAGAGAATACTTATAGGGAATACTCAAGTAGATCAGAGTGAGGCTTTCAATACTTTTATTAGACCATTTCCATGAAATACCCATAGAAATACTTGAACAGATTCTACTACTACTGCTAAGGCAACTTTATAACTAGTGGAGCTTGTCAATCAAACTCTTTTCAGTAGCTTTTTCTCTAGTTACTTTTTACCTAGATAGTTATCTTATCATACGAGTTTCTATCATTATATTTAAAGAATACTCAATCAGATGCGTCTCTATGAAGATAGCAAAGTTCACAAGAAATCTATTAAGACAGCTGTCAATACATTAATTAAAACTCAAGAGCTTTACTTTTTATTTATTTAAGCTATACGTGTATATCGAAGCGTAAAATGATCGTTACAGTAGCGCTGCGCAGGGTTCAGGGTATCTGCTAGTTGGGCACTTCCGACAAGAGCTTTCTTACGGGTATTTTAATTTCAATTCATTCTCTTTATAGCCCGCACGGGCTATGGTCCGGGCGAACAGGATTGGGGCTTTGTGGACGTTCGCAAGGGCGCCCACATGTTCTACTGGCTCTACTACACTACAGCCAATGTCACCAGCTATACGGATCGGCCCTTGGCCATTTGGTTGCAGGGTGGCCCAGGTGCTTCATCCACGGGCTATGGCAACTTCGAGGAGCTGGGACCTTTGCAGCTGGATGGCAGCTATCGCGAGTGGACTTGGGTCAAGGACATGAATGTTATATTCATTGACAATCCCGTGGGAACTGGATTCAGTTATGTGGATGGCTCCTCTTATTACACCACCACCAACAAGCAAATCGCTTTGGATCTGGTAGAGTTCATGAAGGGCTTCTATGCGCTTCATCCGGAGTTTAAGAAGACGTCTTTTCATATTTTCTGTGAGAGCTATGGAGGCAAAATGGCACCAGAGTTTGCCCTGGAGCTGTACTATGCTATACAGCGAGGTGAAATCGAGAGCAACTTGCAGTCAGTAGCTCTGGGTGATCCCTGGACATCGCCCATTGACTCCGTGCTTTCCTGGGCGCCTTTTCTACTTCAGCTGGGCATTGTGGATCAGGATGGACATGATAAGATCGAAGCTTCTGCCTTGAAGACCAAGAAACTTGTTGATGACGGAAAGTGGACACAGGCCACACTCCAATGGAGCTCCACCCAGTCGGTGGTGCTGCGTGAATCTAAGGGCGTGGATTTCTACAATGTGGAGACGCCCACTCGTGGGGATAAGTATCTGAGGCAGGTTGTAGAGATGAATCCAGAAGGTGAGTTACAATTCGCCAACTTGGTAAACAGTTTCTACAGTTTCATATTCATAGAGCGCATGTATCGCACCTTGGTGCACTTTGACATCGATGAGAATCGAGATAAGCTGCTGAATGAGCTAATGCTGGGACCCGTCACCGAAGCACTTAACATAACCAGCGGCATCAAGTGGGGCGCTCAAAGCGGAACAACTTTCAACAAGCTTATGGGCGACTTTATGAAGCCAGCTGTTCATATTGGTAGGCCTTTATACATGTATAGAAAGTATATATAATTTGTTTATTTTATAAAATTTTTTTATTTGCATAGTTGAGGAGCTGCTGAATAGCACAACTGTTCAAGTTGGTGTCTTTTCGGGTGGCCTGGACTTGATATGTGCCACGCCCGGTGCGGTCAACTGGATTGGTGATATGAAATGGAACGATAAAGACAAATATTTGAGCAGCCCTCGCGTTGGCATCACTGTGGATCGCGTGCTGGAGGGATACAAGAAAACAGCTGGAAATTTCAGCATGTTCTGGGTAAATCGGTCTGGTCATATGGTACCAGCTGATAATCCCGCTGCCATGTCGCACATTCTGCAACAATATACGAAATTTGGTTAAGATAAGCTAAAATGTTCATAATGAAACAAATAGCGAACGCTATGTAAACATGTATAGTATATAAACAGAAAGTTGTGCGTGCTCAAATTTTAAAATAAGTTTTTTCATTAAGTCGTTTTGTTGCGATCGAATTGAATCTCAAACAAGTTGAGTCAAATGTATATCAAATTTGTGCTGTCGTTCGTAAAGTTCTCGCATGCGCAGTGCATGGAGAGAGCGAATTGGTAAATAGAAATGAAAAATTGCAACCCTCTCTCGCTCTAACCGCCTTACAAATATGTGACCATGTATGAGAGTGTGAGTGTGCTGCTGCCATTATCTGAGGCGGTAGCACTCGCATACACTCACACACACGCACACAAGTTAAAGTTGCGCGCTGCTTGGACGCTTATCACGAAGCTCTCCGCCGGCGCAGAAAAGTACTCTCAATGCGCATTCGCGCTCACAGAACGAACAAACGCAGGGAACAGCAGAGTGAAAACGGCAGCCGCTGGCAGCGGGTGGGCAGCTATTTTTATACATATATAACGCTGTTCTAGTCGGGAAAAAATTATAAGCAACTGCACACGTGTGCATATGCGTTTGCTGTGCATTTAAACAACAATAAGAACAAGTTTAAAGAAAAGTGCATAACAAATTACTAACAAAATACCAAAAACAAGAGAAAAACAAAAATAAAGAACGGGCGACGTTTTGTTGCTGTCAACGCGCATAATCGTAGCCATCGCACACGGACACACTCAACCACACACACACACACGTATGTACTCTACGTATGCATGTGTGCCCATAACAGAATCGTGCGTAAAAGAGAGCGCAGGGAATAGGTCGCTGTGCACAGGGTGAGTCAGCGCAGCGAAACAAGACAATAATGCTTAAAACAATAACAGGCAGTAACACATCTCATTTTAGGTGTAAATAAATAATAAAGAATATATTTGTTAAGGAATTAAATAACAGCAAATACGGCAATGCGTGTGCGCGACAAACGTAAGCCGCACAAAGAGCAAAAGGCTCAAAAAAACAACGATAAACAAAAGGTAAACAATGTTTGTTTCTTTTTTGGGTTTCGCCTTCATGATTTTGTCTTTGCAGCCAATTGCAGGCGATGTGGAGGAAAAGCCCAATAAACCAACAACAGCAACGGCAACAGTAACAGCAGGAGCAGCAACAAGCACAACAACAACAACCAAAGGAATAGTAACATCAACCAAAGCAACAACAGCCAAAACAACAACAGCAACAAAAGCAACTGCAACCCGGCAGTCGCCACCATTGCCGCCATTGAATCCATCGGATAGGATCGCCTTTGATAATCGTATCAAGCGAAAAAATGTGCTGGCTCTGAATGAGAAGGTGGCCGCTCTGCGGGAATATGATCGACAGCCTGTATACAAGCATGTGGGTCGGATGTTCCACTGCAGTCCGGATCAGATCAAGCGCATTGTGCAGCAGAAGGAGCAGGTGATGCGGGCATGGGAGCAGCGAACGAGACGTTGCCAAGATAACAAGACGAAGGAGCTGAAGGTGGTGGTGGTATCGATGCTGGGCAAAGCTGTCTTCGAGTGGATACGTCGCATGATGTACTACAAGGACTTCATCATATCGGACGGACTGATACAGAAGATGGCGCTGCAGTTCAAGAGCTCTATGGGTCTGAACAACTTCTTTCCGCATCAGGAGTGGTGCGATACGTTTCGTACCACCTACAGCATACATCACAACGATACGAAATTATTGAAGGTGGGCTACACGCAGAGCTATTCGGTGCAGATCAATGATATAGTCAAGGATGTGATGTCTGAGTGTACGCCAGCCAAAGATGTGGCGCCCGATCTTATGGATGACGATGACGATGACGAGGAGGATTTCAATGCCACCATCAGCAACAGCAGTCATCTGGATGAGGATGAAGGCGACGTAGATATCGATGGTGGCGGCGATACATGTGATCTGGAGCGAGATCAGCATCAAGATGTGAAGCCCTCGCTCAGTGAATTAAATGCGCAAATGCTGCAACCACTGCCGCAATTGGTACGACTGCCACAGGTGCCACCGGGCACCTCGCAAAAGGTGCTGCTGGCCACGCCTATCTTGCCACCTGGGGTAACGCCTGCTGGCGCACAGACCATGACCATTATACCGCTGGCTACGCTGGCGCAGAGCATTACACAGCGACCGGTGACGACGCCACCGAAAAAGCCTTTAAAGCCGGCAATACCGCCACCCATGCTGGACATTAAGCAGGAGATCAAAACGGAGCCTAGAGATGCGGAAGATCAGGAGGTGGAGCTGACGCTGGAGCTGGCGAAGCAGCAGCAGGAACAACAGCAGCACGAACAACACCAACAGCAGCTGCTACAAGAGCAACTGCAGCAGCAGATAGAGGAAGTCGCCAAGGAGCAGCCAGCTGCGGAGCATACGGCTGTGTGCATCAAGCAGGAGTTGGACAGCGATGGCGAATACATCGTGGATGATGATGACGACAATGGTGGCCGGTCCAGCGTGACGTCCTTGGCGGAAATACTGGCCGCCAATGTGGATGATGAAAAGCAATATATTGAGCAGACGCGTGCTATGCGCCTGCAGAAACGAAGTCGCAGTCCAGCCAAAGAGATTGACACGCCCATGATCACATTGCCGCCCATGCCCACGCTGACCAAGGCGCCGTCTCAAACGCCGACACCGCCCCCGCTGTTGCCGAAGCGTCGACGCCAGGAACAGGAACAAAGTCAGCAGCAGCATGACAAGAACAACAATGGCCAACCGATAATTAGCTGTGCGGAGGCGCGCAAGTACCTGAAGCTGTTGAAAGAGTTTGCCACGTTCAGGAAAAACACGCGACTGATTGAACTAACAACGCGCGCCGATGAAGTCCTGTGGGAGCTGGACGACGATAAGGATTAGGAATAGAAATAGTCATATATGCAATGAGTGTACGGCTGATACACATGTATGCTTAAGAGCTAGTAGCACATCTCGAAGATGCAAATGGATGCAATCATAGAATACTTGTATATTTTTAATTACGTGTACTATTACCAAATACAGCAAACCAAATATAGCACCTAATAACGCACATACAACTGTTGCATCTCAGTCTAGTCAGTCAGCCAGTCGACCAATCACTCTGTCACCAAATAATCATAAAATCAGTCCACATATATGCGCTGTTTCATAGTGCGCATGTCTGCCCTTAGTTGGTGGCCGTCGCTGTTGTCGACGACAACGAGGTTGCCACTCTCTTGCATTCGCTCACCTCCTCAGTGTGTGCTCACCAATACGGCCACAAGTTCTAATTGCATTTGTGTGTGCGTGCGTGTGTGTGTGTGCGTGCGTTTGTGCGGTGGGTGGCAATGCACGCAAGTGCTCTGCACAGGGTGGCAATGTTAAAAATTTGCCGAAAAAGAATGTTAATTAGCAGTACTTAAAAAGATATGTATGTAAATGGGTTTATATGACAATCATTTGCTAAAGTAGACATACATTACATACATGACGCATACAGTTTCAGTATACAGCACAAAATGCAATTGGTTCAACCTAATGGCTACTATTGCAACTGTGCTTGTCTGCTAAATCATATGTATTAATGCATAGCCGGCATGCAAATCAACCTTTTAGCTTTGTTCTCAGTGCGCATGTTTGCCCTTAGCTGCAGACTTAGCCTGGGCGGGCAGCTACTCACCAACACAGGCACGCTAAACGATTTCCTACATACATACATTAGCACGTACATACATATGTACTTATATATAATTGTACAGACATACATTGAAACATGCGTTTAGGCCATGTGGCACAGGGTGGTATTGGTTGCGGCGAGGCAGTTCATAATAAATATTCAAAACAAAAGTTTCCATACAAAATAACTTTTTGATAATAATCACAAAGTTGTCTATAGCTTGGAAAAGTATGTACATAACTGACTTGTATATAAGTTAATGAAGGTATATCGTACACATATACGTATACAAGTGTATGCGTCAATGTGTCTACACATACACACTCACACAATTCCACGAACGTCTGTTGATTGATGGACAGTTTACCTAGACGCACACAAAAATAAACGCAAAAGCAAAGTAACGCACACATACACACAAACATGCTGACACACAGACACGAAACTAATCAATCAATCAATCGACAACAAGCAACGCTCACAGAGTCACACATCCACCGTCGTCGTCGTCGTCAGTCTGTGATTGGCGTTGCCACGAGGAGGTCGTCCAATAATGTGCATATATATACATTCATTTATTACGCATTTACTAAGCTAAACAGTAAGTAAAGGATGTAAACCTAAACAAAACAAGTCAATATAAAATACTTTCATATTAATAAAATTCATCTTCTGTATAGTTTGCGCAAAACCTGTAACTCTGCTAACTAACAGAGCACTGTTAACGCACACATAACGTGAAGTTGGCTGCACGCAATGTCAGGGTTGCTAGATCGTTTTATTGCTAATAAGCGACAGTTTTGGCGCGAGTTTTTGAAACTCTATCAAGATATGCCAGAGCTATGGGATGTTCACCATCCGGATTATCGAAACAAGGAATTAAGGAACGGATCATACGATATCTTACACAATAAACTAAGAGAGATTCAACCGACTGCAACAAAAAGCGATGTTGGACGCCGCATCAACATTTTTCGTACAAACTATAGACGCGAACAGATGCGCATTTGGAAGCAGCAAGATTTGGGACTACATCCAGACTTATGCAAGCCCACATTATGGTTCTACGATAATATGAGTTTTCTACTGACGCAGGAGTCCTTTCAGCACAGAGCACGCAAGATGCGTTGTAAGCCGTATATCAAACCACAGTCAATGTCAGATTTGAAATTTAATGTAAGCGACGTTTTTTGATTGATATGTATTATCGTATATATATATATATACTATTGCAGTACATGATGGATCCATTAGACACCGGTGCAATGACTTCCTTACCCAAGCTACAAAATGTGTGCCCTGAACCTTCGCCAGTCGAGTATAGCGAGAGCTTGCTGCTCAGCCCGAAGATTGAGATATTTGAAAATGATTTGGATGCTATGCAAACCGAGCCAATGGCATCGAATGATGTCGTCAAAGTGGATAATGCCGAAACAAGCACTTCAGACTTAAACGAACCAGCGTGCTCCACCGCAACCACATTGACTGTATTAAAGGGCTCCACATCGCAGAAGTCAAACATTTCGTTAAGTGATGCCTCCGAAACATTAGCCAAATCCTGGGCTATCCAATACGAAGAGATGGCCCCCACCCAGCGTATCCTGGCGCGCAAGGCCATTGCCGACATACTATTCGAGGGCTGCATGGGCAATCTGCGCATCAATCGCAATGAGCGAACCACTGTGGATAACTATGTGTAAACGTGCATAGCTGAGACTCTTCGTTAGTTAAGCTTCTAATTGTAAAAGAGCTACAAGTCTCTATTTAAATCTTGCCCATCTACAAGATCTATAAATGTGTATATATATATGTATATCAAGACATTTTCTAAGCCAAAGAACTTATTTGAGCTGTCATCAACTATGTTTCAGATGTCACTTCCTACCATTTCCTAAACACTAATAAAAAGTAAATTGTAAAATCTTAATTAGCAAGTTGTGCAGGTGACTGTAGCAGCTGTGAATGTGTGTATGTGTGCAGGTGTGTTGGCCACCCGATCGTCAAGCAGGCTGCCGCCCATCCGGTGATGCACTTAACGCGTTTGCAAATGATTTGAGCAGCTGTTGCCACTGCACCTGTGCCAGTGTCTTAATGCCGCCTGCTTTGCCCATTTACCGGCCCAACCGCATGGAAAAATTCAAATCACGGCGAACGGGTTGCTAGAGCTGAGCAGATCAAGCTGGCTGCAACGGCTGGGGTCTAAGTCATTGCAGCATTTTGCACCTGTCGTCCTACGCATGTGAAAATCAAGCGCAGCTTTAATTGATACAACAACAGCAGCTACAACTGCCGAGGGGGGCCCACAACGGGGCCGAGTTGCTGCCTAGTTGCACGTGTTTAGCTACGACTAGGTTCCCGAAGTGGGATTTGAAGTAGGCCCTGGGCCTCGAGTCGCGGCAAAAATGTTGTAAAAAATGCGTTGAGCTGCGCAGCTGCCAGGCTGTAAGGTTGGGGCCAAGACTCTGCTTGGGGGAAAAACTGAGCCCTTGACAACAACAATAACAACAACAACAACAACAACTGCTGCAACAACATGGCAAAGTTTTGCAGCCTTAAATGGGCATTGAAATTAAATGCAGCTGCTTTAATGACGCTGCTGCCTGCACTTGGGCTGCGTATCAAAATGGCCTAAACAAATCTGGGAATATGGCACAGAGACTGTGCTGTTGCTCTGGCTCTGCCCGGCTGTGGCTGCTTGGCTGGCTGGTGGGCGTTGCATGTGGCAGTTGTTGCATGGGCGTGGCGCCACAAACATGAAATGCATACAAGCGACTGCGCCGGTGGCCGCCGCAGCGTGGTGGGCGCCAGTTAACAAAGAGAACACTAACAGCAACATCGGCAACAGCAACAACAGCAACAGCAACAGCAACTTTTGCCTTTTTGGGCCGTTTAATGGGAGTTGCCGTTGCCTTTTTTGGTGCAACGAAATCAAGAAACAAAAATCTTTTTATCTCAAGTTGCCGTTGCCGTTGCTGTTGCTGCACAGATGATGATGTTGTTTGCTCAGGCTTAATGTATTACGTTTATAAAAATAAATTCGATTCCAAATGCAATGCACACAACAAATATCAAAAGACTTAAGCAACAAACTCATTATACCCTCAATCTATTGAAAATGGCTTTTGTCTAAATTCAGAAAGTGGCATAACCGAACTCCTAAGGCATACCAACAAGCTTGATCAAGTCGATGCCTATCTGCTCGTCTGTTTCTCTTTGATAGCGTTTATCGCGGGACTTTGGAATGAATAAGACTTAAGCTTCTAATGAAGATCTTTTTTAAGATATTTTAACTCGAACTATACCTGCCAGGGTATCTAACCAGTCGAATATTTATGACTAGAGTACTCTTACTGCAGCTGAAGATGGGGCAATTCGATGGGCACGCAAACGGCACCCTTCAGACACGACTGCAGCAGCTTCAAATGCCTTTCATAAGGTTGCCCATCAGCAGCCATAAAGCCGCAGATTGCAATTGGAAGTCTATATTTTTCAGAGAAAGAGAGACAGACAGACAGAGAGAGAGAGAGAGAGAGAGAGAGGTCAAGGCGAACAGCTGCCAGAGCTGCTGGTAAACTTAATGAGAAATTTGTAATTTTCAGTGCAAATTGGCAGCTAGCCGATCGAAACTCTTGTTGCAATCTGTGTAAACACAGGCAGAGTAAACAAAGCGAACGTTAAACAATAACAAATTGCATTTCTCACACGCGGCACGCGTCAGCAATGAAACAACCCCCATGGATGCATGGATGCAGGTGCAGCACACGCTCGCAACGCATTTTAGGGGTGGCATTCAAAGAGCTTACCCACGAAGCGCTGCGATACCAAAAAATCACACGAGAACTTGTGCAGTTGTTGGCAATGCGCCTGGGAACGCGAAAATCCATGGCCATAGCCAGGGCGATCATCGTCAACATGTGAACTGTCCCTGGCCAAGTTGAAGTGAACAGTGAGAGAGAGAGACCAAGAGAGAGGGAGGGAGCGAGCAGTGGTTGGGTAAATTGCTGGCCATCCGCTAATGAGACTGGGAATCAAACACGCACAGAGCACAGAACCTTCTCTGGAGCGGAATGTGGGCGCGCCGACGCGTTTGTACGGCGTGACGAATAATGTGAGAATGAGAACTTTATTAAAACACACTCTTTCGCCGCGATTTGTTTGATATGCCCTGCAAAAGAGCAGAGCGTGGGGTGGACTCTGTTGTCGCTCATAGCAAATACAATAGCATTGTGTGTGGAAATCTATATACAATGAATATTTATCTGAAATCTGTGTTGTCTTTCAAGTAGTTGCAGGGTATGTGAACTGCTATGGGATAGTTGCTTAATTGGCTGTCAAATCTATGTTTATCAGCTGCATAAGGAGTCGATATGCCCTCAAGCTTTACATATAGTTATAATATATATAAAGGGTATTAGCTGGGAGTAAGACTGACGCTGAGACTGTGGATCTACAGAATATTTCTGAGCTACTCAAGAGGCTTGAGCATGAGAGGCCATATACAATATATATATCAAATCTATATACAAATAATATTTTCATTGCTCATTTACTACAGGGTATCTCTTGGCTGCTCAAGCTGCTTTCTTTCGCATTACATTCGCCGAAAATTCTCAGTCGCTGCACATTTGGAGCATTCTGAAAATCGCTGAAATGCTTTTCACACGGTCAGCTGTGTGTGAAAGAGTTCTCAACGTGGGACTGTGAAAATGAAAACGATGAGGAAACAGCACAGAACTTTTTGTACACACACACAGAGACATTGGGCAGACACACCTGTATATGGGTCACTGCGTGTGTATATGTTAATGAATTGGTCAACCATTCTGGTGGCTGCTGCTGTTGCTGCTGCTTCGACTGCTGCTAAATGGGCATTACAATTAAAAATTAAAGCATAAGCTCCATAAAAGTTGACAAGCTAAACGCACAATTTGGCAGCAGCTGAAAATTTTTGTGCTCAGCTTGCTCTTAGCGGGCAGCCAGGCTCAAGGAACAAAAGGCAGAAACACAAAATTGATGCGTTAATTAACGAAAAAAAGGATACGGCGCCTTTTGATTTTTTGGGCGAAACTTTTATGGGCAGTCAGTGAGAATATAAAAATCCACAAAAAAAATGGCAGCTATACGTATGTGTATCTGTGTGTGTATGTATGAAAAGCAAAAGTTGGCGTATTTTATGGGCCGGCGACACCTTTTAAGAGCGCCAATCGAATCAATGTTTTAACACGAGAATACCATTTCCAAAAGCGGGCTCATTAAGCACAGCCGAATAACCCGGATGCCAAAAAAAAAAAAAACAGAAACTAAATATAAAAAACATTTATAAAGGATTGCTTCGAGTTCTACGAATGCTGCGGCAGCTGCAAATAAAAAAGGAATTAAAATTGGAATTGGAATTGGAATTCATATTCGTTTGATTTCACAATGCTGCGAAAGTGAAACCAGGCAGCAAAATGCCTCGATGCAGCAAACTGACACACATCTACCTGTCGCTCCACGTCCTCCTGCTCCTCTTCTTCTTTTGGTTGCCCAAAAAACTTTGACAAGCAGAAGCGCTGGACAAGTTTTGGCAATTTGAAAATCTCTGCGCTAATTACCAGGCAACCCGACAGGAGGAGCAATCGAGCAGCTGCTGCTGCTGCTTTCGTCTTGGCCTGGCTAATTGAACTCATCAATTTGGTAGCTAATGAAGTGGCTGCCAGTGGAGCAGCAGGCCAGCTGAGATGTGGAGATGCTGAACTGTCGCCTTACATTTGCAACTGCAATTCATGAGGCGTGCTCCGCTTTTGCCAACGCTCGCTGATTCTTGTGGCCTGATAAAGAGTCGCATAAAACACAAAATGCCAAGTGCTTCCTGCACAGGCAAAAGCCAGCTACTGGCGGCCATTTAATTAGCAGGTTAATTGCCCATGAGGCGGCGCATTTTGACTGCCAGCAACTTCATTAATAACTTGACTTGAGCAGCAGACGTTAACTGCAGCAAAAACAACAGCAGCAACTTCCACTGCAGCTTCAACTGCATTTGTCATAGACAAAGACCCGTTTGGTGAGTCGCTATCGATACGTTGAGACAAATGACAAATGATATGTTGACAGCGTCGCAGCATCAGCAGTTGCTAAATTTTGACACTGCCTTATCGCGGAGGCTGAGATTGCGACTAACTGGACAGCAGACGCATCTGCCAATTGCTCATTGCAAAATATTGTGAAATTGCGATAACTGAACAGCAGCAACAGCAACAGCAGCAGCAGCAACAGTTAAAGCCTGGCAATGCAAACAGTGAACAAGTTGCCAGTGGCATTAACAGCAGCAGCAATATTTCATTGTTATCTGCATCAGTGAAGGTCTTTAAGTGCCCTAAGTAGCTGACTCTTAAAGCTGCCCAGCATCGATCATCATTGATGCAATTTATCAACAGCATAAGCAAAGTGATTCGTAAGAGCAACGATAATGCGGAATGCGAAGGATTAAGTACTTAATAAGTCGCTGTCGTTGGACTTAAAAAAAGAATATATTTTTATTCAAGTTTTTTTTATATGCATATAAAATATATTTTTGATTTGATTGATTTAAATATATATTTAAATATTATAATTTGTATTTATTTTTTATTTATATATACAATTTATTTGAAGTCTCTCTTATTTATTTGCTCTTCTTTCTTAATATTATGCATATGCTTAACAATGGTTATCTAAGATTTTTGCACTCTTCTTTCTTTTTTTTTATCAATTCTAGATTTTATCTGTCTATGCTTATCTATATTTATCTCTAATGTATTATTCATTAAAATATTAGCTGCTCTTCTGGGTTCATTTCTCCTGCCCATTTCCTACCCCTCCCCAACTCTGTTACCCCAGTGTAGAGTTCGCACCCACCCCTCACAGCCCACACA